TTACATATTTAATGCAAGATCTCTAAAAGGAGTTTACACACGCAAATACAATTACTAGTCTTAAAAGGAGTTTTAAGACATACGTTTAAGACGCATACTATAACACGAATACGGTAAGATCTAAACTATAACACGAATACGGTAAAACTGATTCATACTCACATACCGGCGAGAGAGAGCGAGAGACAGGGAGAGAGACTCCCGAGAGACTCCTCTCCCTCTCCTCCTCTGCTCCTCTGTTAGAAAACGTCTCTATTTAAGCAAGTCTGGATGTGTCACGTGATCTTAGTAGTACTATGCTTCCAGGTTAATGTGTCTATGCAACAAGGCCACTGTCCTCTTTTTTAATGATAGGGGGAGGGTTTCTTTTGTTTACTCGGAATGTCGTACTTGGCAGTACTCGTATAAAACTGGCTATAACGACGCGAGTGACCAAAGTGCCTGAGGCGTGTCCCTGTGTCGGATCTTAGCCTCGATATAGACGTGGTCAAGAACCGTACCTGTCCTGCGGTGTCGCTCTATATCGTAATGACTTTAGCTTCATTACACTGCTCCCCTCTTTATGAAAAATTTTATGAGCTATATTCTATAGCGAAGAACTTTAAGGTTATATTGTACGTTTTTTTTTCATGTTATGCCCCTTTTTTTGAAAAAATCGTGTGTTAATCCACTCTTCCAAAAACTTAACTACTTAATTATTCCTTAATTAATCCGTCGTCTTTAATTGTCCGTGGGAGTATCTCCGTGGCTCCGTCGGTTCATCTCCGTGGCTTCTCCGTGGGGCTTCTCCGTGTTAGTGGAGCCGTGCTCGGACGATGTTTTGTTTGAGTTCCTCGCTCCAGAACATCAAAGCGTCGTATCTGCGTCGATGGCAGGACTCCATGTGTTCGAAGTAGGACGTCCGAAGCCGAAGTAGCAGGTTGGGGGTCGCTCTTGGGGTTGCGTGTAGGGGTAGGGGGAATATATTCGGGAGTGGGAATGTGAGTGTCTGGTGGGGTCCGTCTGGGGAAGTAGGCGGGGGTGGATGTCGATGGTGGGTGGAGGTGTAAGCGTGAGCGAAGGTGGCTCGGGGCGACAGCGAGAACTGGTCTTCCTGGAGTGTTGAACCTGGTTGCTAGGCGACGGCGGCGATCGGCTGTGTAGGATCTGCTGCCCGTGGTGCGTGGCGTCCGTGATGGTGGTGTCCGTGGTGTTGGTGGTGGTGATGGTGGTGTCCGTGGTGGTGCTGGTGTCCGTGGTGGTGCTGGTGTCCGTGGTGGTGGTGTCGTCATGGTGCTTCGTTGTCGTCTGGTTCGGCTGATCGGCGGTGTAAAATATCTGGTGTGGTAACGACTTGGTAGAAGAGTAGAGAAGGATTAGACATCGTGAACGTTATAATGCAACGCACAATGCAAGTCTTCATGCAGGATAATACTCAACCGCACGTTGATCACGGTGTTTTCCAGGTTTAGAATCGTTTGGGTATGGTCGCATTGTTGTAGTCTAGTCAAGATTTATATATAATAGATAATAATAATTATTATAATAATAAGAATAATAATAATAATAATTATAGGTCAAGATCTTTATAATAGGCCTACAATATTCTAAAACCTATGTAACAGTATTGTACATCCTTATGTTTCGTGTAGCTTAGATTTACTGTCTCGAAGCTGTAAAGTAACCAAAATAAATACACAAAAATGAAATAACGTGTCATATCATGAGTTTTTGCAAATTTTATTAAATTGAACCATTTTTAGCTCATCTGGCGAAGTCAGATGCAGCTTGTAGAATGGCATGAATGTCCGGGCGTGCGTCCGTCCGTGCGTCAACAGTTGGACTGCGTGCAGTGCGTCAGCGTCCAAACTGGAACATTACACTGATGCCGTTTCCCACAGCTTGGCAAGGTATAACACGAGTAGACAGATTCGGTTTGTTAATAACGCGAGCTCATCATTCTATATTTCTTTGCATTACATTTTCTTTTTTGCAATTACGTAATTACGGGATTTTTTTTTAATACATGTATAACTTGTTGGAAGGCGTTCTTATAACACCTTCGACTTTGTTTATTTCGTTCGGTTTTTGATTATGATATTCACGACCAGTGAATAATCCTATGTTTATCAGTTTTAACAGCATTTCTGTCTCATCACTACTTATGCTAACACCGTGGATACGCATGGTGGATATGAACATTATCGCCAAAGTCACCGAGCCCACCGAATGGGTAAACTCTATGGTAGTAGTCGAGAAAAAGTCAGGAGCTATTAGGATCTGCCTAGACCCTAAAGATCTCAATGCTGCCATTCGTCGTCCTCATTATCCTGCATCTTAATTCCATCTCCAGGAATCGTTTGGACTGGGTCGACTTGATGCTTGGAGTGGACATGCGGCTGGGACCCCGCCAGCAAAGTCATAAAACTGGAAAGAGCAACAGACACCAAAAGGACAGCAAAGCACTACTGGAGTCCTCAACAGACACGCACCAGGAAGGCAGCAAAGCAATCTGGAGAGCAACAGACATCCCAGGAAGCAGCAAAGGATCTGGAGAGCCAACAGACACCAGGAACAGCAAAGCATCTGGAGAGCAACA